TTTTGTGTGAGTATACCGTCAAATCAGATCTGACTGGTACAGGAGGAGATTGTCCCTCCTTTTCCCGGCAGAGCATCTGGTGGATTCGAACCGTGTACCTCTGGGATTGTAGTTGCAGCTCCTTGCCACTAGGCCACCAGAGCTCCCCAATAATTTAAAAAAAAATTTAAAAATAAAAAGAAGAGTGTCAATGAAGAAGAGGAAGACCCCAAAGAGATGGACTGTCCCAATTAACGGTGGTACAGGAGATGATAAATTAGTTCAGGAACACACAGTCTCAATCAGCTATATACAGCTGTATATAGACTCACTGTTGTTATGTGCCATTTAGTAGAAAACAACCCATAGCTGACCCTCCAGCAAGTTTTCAGAGGCAGTAAATCACATGGGAGAAGAATGCTCATCATTCTCCTATGGAGTAGTGGATTCACCAGAGCTCCTTAGACAGGGTCACTATGAAATCAATTCAGTGACACCAACAACAACGGTATCAAAATAGAGGCATAGTGTCAGACATCTCTCCTTCATTTTGATAAAAAATAAACACATGCAACTATACCTTCAAGTACTCCCATGGCTAGGAATCGTCCGTAGAACAACTCTACCATCGGGTTCTTTGGTTTTTCTTCATCCCTAAAACATATTAAAAAATAGAAATGTAGGTTTAATTTTTAGATTTATAAATAATATGCATATATTAAAAGAACTAAAAGATACAATGATAATTTTATGAATCAGTGGTCATGACACTTGTAGGTTCTACAACCGACAGTATTACCACAGGCAAGTTGATTTATTATTTCTTATTTATAAACCATAACACTAGGTGATGATTTGACTCACAGATTTTGTGGAATACTCCTCAAAGAGTACTAAGAATGTGTACTCAATAATTTTTCTTTATTATCATTATAAATGTCAATCTCATAATTTTGAGTATGAATCTGTATAAAACATACTTAACTGAACTTGTTGAGAAAGGGAAAAATCCATTCTTTATCTGAAATTGTTGCTATAAAATTTCAATGTTTCACTTCCTTTTTTTACACAGAAGAGTGCACACCACCCCCAACTGAAAGCACCACTAGAGAAGGCCTGCTCTGTTGCTTAATGAGGATTTTACATGTTTCAACACTAAATACTTAGAACCCTGATGGCCACTATTTCATTTAATCCTTAGTGCTAACCAAAGGGTTTCTGTTCATCTTCTACTTTTGGATATATGGAAAGGAAAATTTCCTACTCAGTCAAGAAAGAAAGAGCTCTCAAATGTCAATGACTCAAGATAGTTGGGGGGACGACCAAACACCCCTCATTTTCTTTGTCCTCTCATATATTGTAGACATAAATCATAACTAATTTCTTAAGAAATTTCTTCCAACTGAATTTAAAATTCAGAATTTGTGGGCTAAAAGCAATTGACCCTTGACCCTTAAGGACTGGAAGCTTGGCAAAAATGAAACCAAGACAACTTTCTCTATTATACTTACCAGAGTTTCTGTCACCATTTTCAGCAACCCTGATTTGTGTCTGAACTGCACTAATCACTAAGCTTTAGAAATAATTTATATTTTTTTAAAAATTTTTTATAATGTGAAATAATAAAGTTTGTCAAATAGCGAAAGGTTTGAAATTTTGCTATTCTTTCTGTATTTTAAGGAGATAGTGTTAATCATGGAGGTCCTGTTGCTGTGAAGCTGCACTCTTCCACAGTCTTGTCAAAAACCATAATGGCTTCCCATTATGTACAATGTTTGGATGAGCTTCCAGATAGATTTATGCTGGGAATCAGGAGTGGCATCAACTTCCTAAACCGGATGCCTCTAGAAACTCTTAAAAACTCTCTAAACTCTCTAAACCCTATAAATGTACAGAAATTATTTTAGTTACAGAACAGAGTGCACGTCTTGGGTGCAAAACTTACTCTCAATTGTATTTGACTTGACCACTGCTAAATGAAACTAGTGCTGTTATATCTGGAGGAACACTATTCCACTTTGTACATCACTCTTTGTCAATGTGCAGAACGAAGTAACCTGAGTTTGCTGTGATGCTGAAGCCTGTACCATTGGGATATCAAATACCATAATGGTTTCCCCAATGTAGACAGTGTTTGGTGGAGCTCCCAGTTGTAAAACAGGTTTTGAAGCAGAAGTGGCATCCACTTCCTAAACCACATGCCTCTGGAAACTCTATGAACTTGGAATTGATGATAGTTATGGAAAGGCATTAGGCCTTTTGTTCATAGAGTCACTATGAGTCATGCTTGACTCAATGGCAATCAACAACAACAACTTTAAAATGAAAGAATATAAAATTCAACACCTAAAGCACTACAGAAACTACACTCAAACAAAAGAGAAGAGGCTTCAGTTGCAGAATCCCTGGTCTATTCAGGTATAGAAATGACATTAGTATCCCTGAGGCTTACAACAATAACTCTTGGAATAATTTCTCTTTTCATTAAATTACAAGAAAAGTGAACTTTTGGTCTACTTTAAACATGATCGTAGAACATCAAGGGGATGCAATTTATGAAATTAACTCTTGTCTTGGAAATTTGGTAATAAAAAGAGTCTCATTAAAGTCTTCAAACAACCTCTGCTGTTAACATTTAGCATTAGAATAATGCCACTTTAATCTTTTACCAGATAATACAATAATGATAATTATTAAACAATTAAACTAGGTCTTTAAAAAAAAACAGAAAAAAGAGAATTTTAGATACTGGATGTGCAGTATCCAGAAATAAATGGTAACTACTACAGGTCACAACCTTGTGGTACTAAAGTCTAAAATTTCCACTTATGCTTCAAAAAGACATTTTAATGGGGTTGTTGTTGTTGTATACCATCGAGTTGGAAGCGACCCATAGCTGACTGTATGGTGGGTTTTCAGAGGCAGTTAATTACATGAGAGGAAATGACCATCTCTCTCCCCTGGAGCAGCTGGTGGATTCAAATTGCATGCCTTGAGATTTCAATACAGCTTCTTGTCACTCAGCCACCAGAGCTTTAATTGTGTAAAAGGTTCATAATAAGGGAGTGGCTTCATGAGAGTAGAAGCAGAATCACCCTGACCGTGTACCAGTGTCCTACTTTACAGAGGTTAGTCATGCACTGTAAATAATCTGTCTAAATGGTTAAATCCAAGTAGTACACAATAAAAAGCAGGAAGCATTGAGAATTGACTTCATAGTTGTGTTCTCATATTTCCACATGAAAGAACTTCTTCATAATTAACACTTCTACTCTCTGTCTCTACTAGTCACCTGTTCCTACTCATAGAAATGACTGCTGAATCTAAGCAAAAAACTGTGGATTAAACCTCCTGGGGCTCATTATTAACATATTTCTGAATAGATACCGATATAGTAAAAGCTTAGTGCTTGTATGCAGTGTCCATGGTCACAAATTACAAATATCTTATTAACAACATAAATAGCACTTAAGTTCCCATAAGTATATCTTGTTTCATTTTTCAATATGCTATACTAGAGGAAATCAAAATTTTTCTAAAATTTCATCATGAAATGTCAAGTTAACTTACGTTTCCTCTTCAGCTTTCATTTGAAAGGCATCTTCTAACCAGTCCAATAATTTGTGTGTAAATTCACTTACATCTTGCTGTGGGAGGAAAAAAGTTTTGTTGTGATTTGTGCCTACTTATAAACATACTAAAGGTCACAACAAGAAAACTGTACCCTGTCATTTAAATTATAATTACTAATCTGCACAAAGGTTATTATATCACATGCTTCACATTAATACAAGATACTTCTATAACTCTATAAAATCAAGAAAAATAAAGATATGCTCATCATCATTGTTATTGAGCTTTACTTTAGAAAAACACTGTAATTCAAACTTAAAAATAGCATTTAAAAAAATAAAAAGAGCTGTCTCCCAAAAGGGAACTCTAATCTTTCTAAAGTGAAAGATCCCCATTATTAAAGAGTTCTTCTTATATTTAACTAACTCAAGAACTAGAAAATAAAGTGAAAGTAACGTCCTAAAAAATACAACCAACTAAAAATAATTAAGTGGAAAATCTAGCAGAAAAAAGTTTGATAAAGGGAATAGATAAAACATACATTGAGCCATGGAGATATTAAGTTATAAAAAAGAGATCCATCTTCTTAATAAATATGTGCTTAACTTGCTATTATGGATTTAATTGTTTCCCCTAAAAATATATATCTGGAAGTCTTAAATCCTAAAATCCACAAATGCTACTTTATTTGAAAGTAGGACCTTTGCAGAGAAAGTTTATAAAGTAGAGACAAAGTTATTAAGGTGGCCCTTAAACCATATCACTAGTAAGTATAAGAGATGAGACATAGAAACACAGATACACAAAGAATGACACGCTCCAATGAACACAGTAGATGAGTCACATGAAAAACTACAGTATGCCAAAGGTTTCTAGAGTATCAGAACTTTAAAAAAAAAAGGGGGGGTATGGAATAGATTCTCCCTTAAAACACGCAGAAACAGCACGGCATGCCAAATTGTGGCAAAATAAATTTCTGTAGTTTTTAACCAACCAGCTGATGACAATGTTAGAGGTAGATACAAAGGAAATACATTCATATACTCAAATAAAAATATTTTAAAATGAACTTATAAACTAAAATTCAACCTTATACTACATGCCAAAGATAAAATTACAATGTAAAAACATGAAAAGATAAAAATAAAAGGACAAGTGGGATATACTAGAAAACCTGAAATAGCATAGCAGCATTTGACGCTATCAGACAAAGTATGATGCTTATATCATCAGTTAAAATTCACAATGAAGGTTTAACAGTTGTGAATATTTATAAACCAAATAATATAGTCAAAAGGGAGATCTAGTGACCTAGTGGAACCTATATAAAAAAAGAATAGGAAATCCAAGAAAAAACACATAGATTCAATAAATCTAAGAGCCTTTAACAAACTATTCTCAAGATACAAAAGGTAAAGCAGACAAAAACAAGTAAGCACAATAAATACTGGGATCAATAAAATAAGGTAGATTTCATATATCCAAATACATTATAGCATCATATCATATTAGAGGCAATACCTTCTATTCAAGCATACAAATGTAAAATTCAAATTGACCATGTATTAAAATCAAACCAAAGTCATTGCCATCAATCCAATATTGACTTACAGTGACCTGCCCCATGGGGTTTTCAAAGTTGTATGTTTGTATAAAGGGAACACTAACTAGTAGCACAGCCTGTAGGGAACTGCACTGTAAAATTAAAACCTATTGTGTATGTATCTCTGGCAGTTCAAATGTACAGCTTTGGAAACAAATGACAGCTCAGCTATGAGTTGGTTCTGACTCAATGGCAATGAGAGACAGAGAGTGAGTGACAGTGACTGGTTATGGAAGTAGAGTGACATTTTTTTTTCTTTGAGGAGAGAGTTAAAACTGTTGGCCTTTTGGTTAACATTGAGCTCTTAACCAATATGCCACCAAGATCCCCTTATAAAGTAATGTGTTGTTGTTGGGTGCCTTAGAGTTGGAACCAACTCATAGCTAACCGTCCAGTGGGTTTTCAGAGGCAGTAAACTGCACTGGAAAAAACTGCCCATTCTTTTCTCACAGAGCAACTGGTAGATTTGAACCTCATGCCTTTGGGATTGTAGCATGCCTTCTTACCACTAGGCCACTTTACACAAATATCAGAAAACTCCAATAGTTAAAATATTATAAGCAATATTTTCTAATCACAATGCAACATTTTCTAATCATAACTAGAATAAAATCAATCAAAATGTCTTCACTGTTCCACTTTGTTTCTTTTATTCCCTGCTACTCTTTTTCCCTCTTGTTTTCTTCATTCATTTCTCTGATGTCTCATGTTAAATGTGCAAATGATAATTTATAAACATTTTCTATTAATAAAATATATTTTATGGAAAAATATCCACTGTATTTTTTATGAAATAGAAAAGCACCATAATAGCATTATGTAAACAATGTAAAATAAATAACAAAGTCAACATTAAACTCTTCATAAAGTAGGATAGTTATCTATATCTATATACAAATATATGTGTAGATTTTGAAATTATTCGGTAAAAGAACTAAGGCATATCAAAACCATATGTAATCTATAAACACTGGATTACTATACATTTGTGAAGAGTTTTAACTATGTAAATAAGTTTAGTTTAATTTAATGTTTGTATTCTATACTTATGTTTGCAATTATTAATTATAAACTATATAACTAAGTCCTGAGATATAGTTTCCTTTATAATAAAACTTTAAACATCATTATTCCTTCTTAAAAATGTATTCCTCTAAATATACAATGTTTTTTAAGTGATTCCTGGTTATTTTAAAGTTTAAGACAACGTGCTGTTTTTTCCCAAGAGAATAATCAAACACAATATTTAAATACATTGTTCTCTAAGAAAAATATAAGCCTGCTTTGAATGCCTGCCTTTGTAAGATGCCGACAGTGATGCTTACACTGAAGTGAAGGTCATTTTTAATAAAGCTGAATAATCACATCTTAAAATGTATCACTGAAAATGTGCACTAGGAATAATTAAACTAAACAAAATGCAGAATGGTTATTAAGCAAGTAAATACAACAAACCTACCTGCTGAGAGTCATTTGATTTAAAAGCATCCTTAAGAATTTCAACTGCTCGTGATGGATCAACATATTTCCTTTTTGTTCCAACAAGAAGTGCAAACAGATATCGAAGTTCACGCATAAAAGGCAAATTCCGATGCTCCTGTTAAAAAACAAACAGACAAAACCTAAGTGAAAGTTCTAAAAGGTGCTGGTAAAAAGATATTTTGAATTTACACAAGTGCACAAGTGTTAAGTACGCATATTAATAATATATTCAACAATCATCCATCATAAATTAAGAACAAGATTTGATTTAGTGTGACACAAAACATTCAAGTAATCTGGAATAAAAATAGCTGAGGAACAAAAAACAACAAACCTGACACTAAGCTCACAATTTCAGGATAAGTGCCATATATTCATAGCAAACCATGAAGAACTTCTGTATATGCTATTTACTCAGGCAGCAAAAGGATCCTCTTTCAAGTCTGTTTATTATAATAATTCCATTCAGCAAAGTCCAGCTGTTACTGATGACAACAACAATAATAACTTTCAGTAAGTGCTTATTGTGTGCCAGGCACTGCTCGAAGTACTTTATCTCAATAAACCCATTTAAGAACATTTCTACTCTTCCATGTAGTCTTTCCAGATACCTTCAAGTCAATGATTCCTTTAAATTCTACACCTATTGAAAGAAAAACTCTTACTTGAACAATTCATTGCCAAACATCACTGTAGGAGGTGACATGAAACTAGTTATTATATCACCCTTTTACTTCCATTTGAAATCTTATTTACTGTGCATTGTTTCTCAAGAAGGCTGTAGACTTCAGGGATAAGAATTACATACTTCTTCAACAACTTTTTAGTATACAAAGTAGACAATTCTAAAGGATGAGAAACTGAACTTTGCAGAAAGAATAAACCCATAAACTCACCAATGCCATTACTCAGTTTCTTTTAAAACAAATAAGAAATTTAAAAAATGTAATTCATATACCTAGTGAAGTATTTTGTGGAAAAATATCAGATAAGAATGTCTTAGAGTTATTTTATTGCTCTTGCAATAAAAAAATATTAGCAGATAAAGTATACATATACTATTTAAATGAAAAAAAACTTCCACATTTACATAGTTGATATTTTTAACATTGTACATACTATGAAATTATTAAAGTGTGTATGTACATGTCTGTGTATATCTGTATACTTACTGCCCAGACAATATAATTAGAAGCCTAAAGCAATGAATGGAAGGGAATAAAACTAGATGCCAATATTTTGCCTAAAATGTAACAATTACATCAATCACAAAGTGTACTAACCAAATTTGACAGAATACTGTTGAGGTTATCTACCGTCTAGTTGGAACTGACTCAGCTGACCCTCCAGTGGGTTGTCAGAGGCAGTAAGAAGAGTACAGAATATCCCATGGACTGCCAAAAAAACAAACAGATATGTCTTGGACAAAGTGCAGCCACAGTGCCCCTTGGAGGCAAAGACGAAAAGGCTTCATTTCACATACTTTGGACGTGTTGATAGGAGAGGCTATTCCTTGGAAATAGATACCATGTTTGGAAAAATATAGGTTTAATGAAAGAGAAAAAGACCCTCACTCAACGAGATGGAATGACACAATGACTGCAAAAATAGACTCAAGTATATCAGAAATGATGAGGATGTCAAAGGATAGGTCAGGATTCAGAGCTGTTGTTCAAAGAATAGCTATAAGTCATACTTGACCCAAAGGCACCTAACAACAACTACACAGGAGGAGATTGCCAATCTTTTTCCCATGGAGGAGTTGGTGGATTTGAACTGTATGTATGCCTTTAGGTTTGCAGTGTTAACACTTTATCATTAAGCTACCAGAGCTCCTTGACATACTATCATGTTCTAGAAACATGGATTTTATTTTATTTAGCATAATAATAAATTCCTTATAAAAGTAAAGATGAAAATGGGAATTTTTAATATTAATTAAATTAATTAAGTAATTTTAATATTAATTCATCTTTCTCTGGTATATCCTATTCTCTTCACCAACTGTTCTATATAAATAAATTAGCACAAAGTATAAATATTCAATTTACAAATGATATCTAAAAATATCCTTAAGTTTCTAAGATCAATCTATTCATTATTACTGTAAATATAAATAATTTTCACTGTTTCTAGCAAATGAACAAGTATCTAAGTAGTAACTTTGAAAATTAACTAAAGTTCTTCTGAAAAGCTCAGAAAAAAAATGAAATGCTTTAATATAAAAAAACACCAACCAGTTTTGCATTCAATCAATTATAAAGCCATGGAAAAGTTAATTTCCCAACACAAAACAAAATTACAATTATTCCTCTTTTATCAATAAACACAGTTACCGTTCCAAACACATGGCTGTTTATATGAAGCAAAATATATGTTTATGTTAAGCAAAAATTTAGCAACTAAATTCTCCTCAGAATCCAGGAGTAATTTTGGAAGTAGCCCCATAGTGCTGCTGCTTTTGTCCATAGCTTGTTGATCTCAGAACCATGACTTCTATACTTCTGTTAGTTGGCTTATGCCATTTCAACCCACAAAGCAAGATTTGCAGAAGTCATGAGGAGTCTGCTCAAAACTTACCCAGGTAGGGTTTTTGCTCTCCACAGAAACATTTATCTGTCTAGGACTGCTACCAATTTGCCAGAGTATCCCCAATCCTAGAAAGAGCAGATTTCAGGGCTGCAGTTAAGTGGCTGCAGAATACCCTGTGTGCACTTAATTTTACAGTGTGAACCAATCTCTACACATCAACTTAAGAGAACATTTTCATGTTATGAACAATTTTATGTAAAATTGCACAAGATATTTTTAAATACATTGGTTTTCTCTTTTTTCAGAATGGAAGTTGGAAAATCCATCAAACCTTTATTTTGAGAGGCATTTACATATGCCGGCTCTTTCACTACAAGAAACAAACTTCTCCAGAAAGATAATGAAGATTGATTGGGTTTCTCTATTGTGTAGTAAGTAGTATTCTGAAATCCCAAGAGTATGAAATTCAAATCCACCAGTTGCTAGAGAGGAGGATGAGAAATCTCCTCCTTTAAAATTTACTCCCTCTGATCACCCACTAGTGGGTCAGCCATGAGTCAGTTCCAACTCGATGACACAATTTGACCCCAAAACTATCTAAAGTATTCTTGTTGTTTTGGATATTTTTTCTTAACATTTTATTTTGATGCTTAAAACATCAAAACGTACAATTCTATTTTACAATTTTTTTTCTTTTTGTAATACTACAAAACTGAAATTTTCCATCACTTTGCAGATTAAACTAAACGAAAGCTTTGAAAAGGGAGTTCTAGTGGCTTGGTGCTAGGGAATTGTGCTGCCAACTGAAAAGTCACATGGTTCAAATCTACCAGCTGCTAAACAGGACAAAAAGTGGCAATTATCTCACATGCAAATTCCTGAAAATCTTCTGGAGGGTGAGCTACAATTCAGTTCTGATTCCACATTACACAACAACAGAACTTTGAAAAGCACTAAATTTCAGATATATGGGGAAAAAAAAGGTTGGACTATATAATTTGACATAATAATTCTAAATGTAAGGCAAATTTTACCTACAATTCAATGACAGTAAAAGGATAATTAATTGTCATTAACTCATTACAGTATAGGAAAGTGAAAGTCAAAGATGCTGCATGGAAAACTGCAATTCCTGAAGAGGTTTTCTGTGAGATGGAAATACTGTCAAGTGATCTTGGTTTCCTTTCATAAAATTTACATATAACTGCTTGAAACTTTAATATGGCTTGAGGATTTCCTAAAAGGTCAGTTATAAATCAAGTTATATGCTCAGTTGTTTGCATTATAAATATTTCAAATGTTTGAAGACCAAGAGTATAGTGTCAAAGATTTATTGTTCAAAATGGCTTTCCTAGCTCTAAGTTTAAATGGGGACATGAGAATAAAATGCGCTTGTCTATTCACAAGGGATTGGCTAGTTTTAGACTGATCAGATTCTGCAGTAGACACTGGGAATCTCACCATCCAGAACAAAGCAGCAGAAAACAGAGTCCACATCCTTTAGAGCCAGATTCCTGTGCCGCTCAGACCAGGGCCTACAGGAGCAGCAGTAGCACAGAACCAAAGACTTGGCATAAAACAGAGCTGACCTTAGGATTACTACCTCACAGAACCAGAGCTAGAAGCCTTTGCCCAGGTTTGTTGGACTGGGGAGGACAGCCATAATTGGCAGGACTAACAACTTTGTAACACCCCCTAAAGCTATGAGGTTAAAGGTTGAAGTGTTTACAAGCACATGCAATCAACTGTCTTACTGAATGACAGCAACCTGTTAACATCCTAAATTACAGCATTCTGACTTCCTTAATTAACTAACGGTTCTATATAGTCTATGAGCAATTACAATGGATTTTGGACCTAGTAGAGCAGCAGAATCAGGTTGGAATTAGTAAGAAAGTGGTGCAAGAGTGTGGGGGACACATCTGACCTCATGAGCATTTATTTTGTGCTGTGGATGATGATGATCAAGGCAGTTCCCCTTGTGGAGTTATTACAAGTCTAGGAGACCCTGCCATCCCCATGCTGCCCTTGCTCTTTTCAAAAAGGGTTTTTTAAAAGTATATTTTGAAGGAAATTTAGCAATGTATCACTAAGAAGGGGACACTGCATGATCCAAAATCGGGAAGGGTGTATGCTAGAGATGTATCCTACCTCCATACTGCTGAACAGATAGTCAGGGAGGCTGGGCTCTATGAGGAGAAATATGGCATCAGGAGTGGAGGAAGACTCATCAATAACCTGTGTTATGCAGAAGACACAATCTTGCTTGCTCAAACAGTAGGACCTAAAGCACTTGCTGTAGAAGTTCAAGGAGTGCAGACTTCAATATGGATTTAAAGCTCAACATCAAGAAAAGATTCTCACCTCTGGGCTACCTGACAACATCATTATAATAGTGAAGAGATTGAGACTGTAAACAGCTTTTCTTTGCTTAGCTCCATAATCAACACTTTTCATACCAGCCGCCAAGAATCAAGAGATGAACTGCACTGGGAAAATCAGCTGACAAGGACTTCTCCAGAGTTCTGAAGAGCAACGACTTCAGTCTGGAGACTAAAGTGCGCCATAGTCTCCCCAATTGCTTGTTACGTGTCAGAGAGCTGGACAATGACTATGGATGATAGAAAGAGAATTTCCTTTGAGCTGTGGTGCTGGAGAATAGCTGAATATACCATGGAGTGCCAGGAGAACAAACAAGTTCATACTAGAGAGGGTAAACCAGGCTGTTCCTTGGAGGCAAGGATTCTGTGACTTCATCTGACATACACCCGGACATGTTCCAAGGAGGGATCAGTACTTGGAGAGCATCATCATGCTTGGAAGGGTGGAGGGATGGAATAAGAGAGGAAGACTATCAATGAGATGGATTGATTCAGTGACTGGGATAATGAGAGCAGATATGTCAAAGACAGTACAGTAATGGCACACGATAGAGCAGGTTTCAAGGCTATTGTACATAGGGTCACAATGAGTTGCAAGTGACTCAACAACACATAACATCATCATTATCATCATCACTGAGACTGACCACAAAGTTGTATATTATATTGAAACTTAAAAGTTTAACATCATTATCTTTATTACTTTAATATTGTAGGTGTTTATACAATCATAAAAGCACTATAATTAAGCATTTCATCATAATTATGTTTCGATTAGTATGAATTACTGCATGGAAATCAGGTCAATTGTTTAAAAAGCTAAGAGAAATATAATTAACAACAGAAGTACTGATGCCTTTGAGTCATGTTGGAGAAGTGTAGTGAATATTACATTGACTACCAAAAGAACAGAGAGGTCTTAGACAAAGAGTAGCTAGATTGTTCCTTAGAGGCAAGGATGGTGACGTTTCACCTCATATACTTTGGGCATGTTGTTAGTAGGGATTATTTCTTGTAAAGGGACATTACACTAGGAAAGTTAGAGGGTCAGTAAAAGAGAAGATGACCGACCCTCAATGAGATGGATTGACACAGTAATGGCAGCAATGAGCTCAAAGACATCAGAGATAATGAGGATGGTTCAGGATAATGAGGAAGTTCAGATCTGTTGTTCATATGGTCTCGATAAGTTATACTTGATTCAATGACAACTAACAACAAAAACAAAACTTAATAAGGCCAAAGACAGGTGATTTTAATCTAATGCCCTCAGGCCTAGTTTTAATTGTTTGTGTAAAACATTCTTCTAAGTGATATAGCAATGGTCTGTCAATTTGCTGTACAGAGGTAACTTGTGGTTGCTGTAATGCTAAAAACTGTGACACTGATGTGTCGAATGTGATAATGGTTACCCACTACAGACAGTGTTTGGAGCTCCCAGATTAAAACAGGCTTGGAAGCAGAAGTGGCATCCACTTCTGATACAGACTGTCTCCGAAAATTCTATGAACTTAGAGAAACAACGAAAGTTATACAAGTGTTCAGGTCTTTCCTTCATAGGGTCACTATGAGTCATCTACAACTCAGTAACACTTAACAACAACAACAACAGCAGCACTTAATATGTACAGGACTTTACAGGTCTTACTCATTTAATTCTCACAGCAACTCTATAAAATAATTACTATCCCAGAACACTTATACCTAGACCAAGAAGTCTTGTCTGAACAGCGCAAGGGAATACTGCATGTCAAGAATATATCCTTTCTCCACACTATTCAATTTATATGCTGAAAAGATCATTTGAGAAGATGGACTTGATGATGAAAAATGTAATAGGATCAGAAGAGGACTCATGAACAACCTGTCATATGCAGATGACAAGGCCTGTGATATGCAAATGCAATAGATACACAGTCCTCCTTGCCAAAAGTGAGGAGGAATAAACACATTTCCTGCAGAACAGTTTTTAATATGGATTTAATCTCAAGATCAAGAAAATAAAAATGCTCTCCACCAGCCGACAGGCAGCATCATGACAGATGGAGGAAGTACTGAAATTGTCAATAATTTCATCTTACTTACATCCACAACACCCTTGGCAACAGCAGTCAGGAGATCAAAAGAGGAGTTGCACTGTGAAAATATGCTGCCAAGGACCTTTTCAAGGTCTTTGCCATAAAAATAGTCTTTGCTCTAAAGAGCAATGATGTAGATACTAAGGTATGGACAATGTATAAAGTCACAGAAGAATTATTAATGCCTTTTAGTTGTGGTATTGGAGAAGAGTATTGACTATACCATAGACTCCAGAGAACAGGTTTGTCCCTGAAAAAATGAAACCAGAGTATTCTTTGAAGGCAAGGATTGTGAAACTCTCATACTTTGGGCATGCTGTGAGGAAGTCAGTACTTAGAAAAATAATGCTTGGAAAGGTAGTGGGTTAGCATAAGAAAGGAAGATCCTTAATGAGATGGGTTGACACAGTGACTAGAACAATAAAGTCAAGTGTGCTGGACATAGTAAAGTTGGCTCAGGATAGGGCAAGATGCCAAATTATTGTGCATAGGGTTACTATGAGTCAGAGCTGACTCAACGGCACCTAATAACAGTAGCACAATGTCTTTACTTGACAGATAAGAAAACACTGGTTTTTTTTAGGTGCTGTTGAGTATGACTCATAGTGACCCTATGAACAAAATATCTGAACCCTATTCTATCCCGTGCCATCCTCACACTTCCTGACACACAAGAGCCCATTGCAGCAGTCATCATATCAATTCACCTGGTTGAAAGTCGTTCTCTCCTTCACCGAAACTCCACCCTTCCCAGCATTACTTCCTTCTCCAAGAAAGAGCCCCTCAAACTGACATCATTACTTCTCAACAATTGGAAGAGGTCCCTAAGGGCAGATTTTCCAGTGCAATGTATCTTCCTCCTTCCCTGATTGCTGGTACCAAGGGTGTTAATTGTGCATCAAAGGAAAATAAAGCTGTTTTTGCTAACATTTCTTCAATGTCTAAGTAAATTTCTGTGTCATTTTACTTAAAAGTAATTTTTTCTTTATTTTTAATACATGTATGAGTAATGATTACAAAAAAAGTGATTGGACAATGACTAGGGAGGATAAAAGGAGAATTGACGCCTTTGAGCTATGGTGCTGGAGAAGAGTATTGAATGTACCATGGACTGCCAAGAAAACAAACAGATTCATCCTACAGAGGGTTAAACCAGGCTGTTCCTTGGAGGCAAGAATTCTGGGGCTTCGTTTGACATACTTTGGACATGTTGTAAGGAGAGACAGGTCTTTAGAGAGGGACATCATGCTGGGTAGAGTAGAGGGACAGCATAGGAGGGGAAGACCCTCTATGAGGTGGATTGATTCAGTGACTGGGGTAATAGGGATGGGTGTGTCCGAGGCAATGAGATTGGCACAGGATCGAGCACGGTTTAGGGCTGTTGTACATAGGGTCTCTATGAGTCGCAAACAACTCGACGGCACATAACAACAAAAACGAGTAATGATGTCACTTTGAGGACTAAGGTTCATCTGAGTTAGGCCATAGTCTTACCAACTACTTGGTATGCATCTGGGAGCTTAACAATGAATAAGGATGCCAGAAAAAGAATTAATGCCTTTGAGTTATGGTGCTGGAGAAGAACCCTGAACATCCCATGGAAAACCAAGAAAACAAAGAGATATGTCTGAGAGCAGGTATAGCCAGAGTGCTCTTTGGAGGCAAGAATGAGGAGGCTTTACCTCACATACTTTGGGTATGTTGCTGATGTTGCTATGTGCTATCAAGTCACCTATGACTCACAGTGACCCTAAGTACAACAGCTCTGAAGCCTGCTCTGTCCTTAGCCAGTCTCACTGACTCCGATACACCGACTCCTATTGTCCTAGTTACTGTATCAATCCGTCTCATCGGGGTCTTCCTCTCCTGCATTGTCCCTCCACCCTTCCGAACATGATGTCCTTCTACAATGATCAGTCCCTAGGAGGGGCTGTTCCTTGGAGATGGACACAATGCTGGAAAATGTGACGGGTTCACAACACGGCGACTGTTACAATAGGCTCTTGAGTGCCAAGAACTGTGAGGATGGCACAGAATAAAACAGGGTTCAGATCTTTTGTCCCTAAGGTTGCTATAAGTCATACTCGATTCGAGGGCACCTAACAACAACATGTATAAGATTACACATATGTAGGTTATACGTAAATTAACACAAATGTACATATAACTTACAGAACAAATTTTTTAAAGTAAATTTTTCTTTATTTTTCATATATGTATGGATGTATAAACTCACTTATCTGTAAGTTACAGATAGGGAAGTCTGTTAGCCTAGTGGTAAGGAGTTACACTGTCAACCCAAGGGCACCAGGTTTGAATACACCAGCTGCTCCATAAGAGAAAAATGAGTAATTTCCTTCCAAGTGATTTACAGCCTCTAAAACCCACTAGAGAACCAGCTATGTTCTTTCCATTTAATGACACAGAACAACAAGATATATGTAATATTTCCAACCTCCAAAGAAAAAGATTTATTAAAATAGTATTAATAGAAGATAATAACAGTGAAAACAAAAAAGCATTTGACTTGTATAATCACTCATGACAGAATAGTCACAACAAAGACGATTCACAAGTCAGTGACTAACTTTATAAAGATAACTAGAGCAAAACTCATTTTTAAAGGTCTCATCTAGAAAATAAATTTTTGGAAAATTCTATTTCTATATAATTTTCCTAAAGACAATTCAGGAAAGACCTTGAAATAAAACTTATGAAATTTGACAAACAAAAACCAAAGAAACAAAGTTTCAAAATACCAGTAAAATAGCATATACAAAAAGGAAGTATTAACCTGACACACAGATAAAGAAAAACATGAATTTTCTTAGTATAGTTTAATGTATTGATAAATAGAAAATTACTGCAGCATTTGAGATTAATATGACATTAAATTGAGATTTTTTGAGACATATGTCCACAAAGCAATTATAGATAAGAGAATATAAACAATATTTATCTTTTATTTTAAAATTTTATATTGTACCTTTTGGTTTCGTGGTAAATCTTGAGCATTGGATGGAGGCTTATAATTGAGGACTAATCTTCTAAATTCCAAAAGATTGAATAAAGACTGAAAAATAATAACAAAAATTTAAGACATTCTAAAAGGGAAATCCCTTTTAAGAGAACTGTGAAATCACAACTAGTCTCAGGGACTTATTTTTTTACTTTGAGATAAAATTGTTAAAATTAACACACAAGAGCCTATTTCCTTTTCCAAATAAAAAGTCACATTTATTGATTTGATATACATTTTTTGTTGTTGTTGTTGTTGTTTAATGCCGTCGAGACGTAGACGACTCATAGCGACCCTATGAACGAACAGCCTGAGCACTGTTCGTACATAGAGTTTCCAGAGGCAAGCCATTTTGGAAGTGGATGCCGTATTAGCAATATTTATTGTATTATAAATCACAAAATTATACCAACTTTTAAAAAGTACTTACTAATTCTCTGATCTTTGTAGTGCTATGTAATTAACTAGCAGTTTCCTCAAAATAAAAAGCATCAAGTCTAGAACACTGTAGATACATGATATTTACCCAACAGTTAGTGTCATTAATTATACAAAAATATATGATCTGGCAAAGTAATTGCAATCATTAAGTATAAACCCAGAAGTAAAGGCAATAAAGAAAAAAAAGCAAAACAAAACAAAAACCCCATATGCCAGCGTTCATTGTCCACTTCTCACAGGAAATAAAAAGGTCAATATGACCCTCAACAAATAATGACTGAACGAAATCTGGTTTATACATAAACTAAATCACTACTCAGTCATAAAGAGAAATTAAGTCCTGATAGATGCCACAACATGAAAAATCTTTTAAAATAGCTGAGCAAATAAGTTAGCCATAAAAGCTAAATTAAAAAAAAAAAAGTTAAATTTTCCCTCTTCTATATGAAATATGCAAATATATAGAAATTAGCAATTATTAGTGGCTACCAGGGAGCTCTGGTGACTCAATAGTAAGGAGTTGCACTGCCATTTCAAAGGCATGAAGTTTAAATTGACTAGCTTCTTCACAGAAGAAAGATGGGCCAACTTCTCCTGTTCAATTTACAGCCTGTAACAACCCACTGCAGGGTAAGCTACAATTCAGTTCTGACTCAATGGTACATAAAAACACCACCAGTGGTTATCAGAGGTGAGAGGAAAGGGTAAAGTAGAACTTCTGCTTAGGGAATATTAAGGTTATATTAATGATGATGAAATAATTTGTGAAAAGATAATAAGAGTGGTTGTACAACCAGAAGAATGTACTATCACTGAAGTATACATAAAGAAATTGTTGAGATGGCATGTATTTTGTTAGGTATATTTTTAACATAACAATTTTTTAAGAATATATAATATTAAGAAATTTTTTGGTCCAGATGCTGGATAGTCTCACAAAGATAATACAAGCAATGCTTATGCTAAAGGAAACACAAAATCTACACAGGAAACAAACAATAAAATTGTGATCCAAGGATATAGTACTATTGATCTTTCAGAGTATAATGGCAGCAGATGAAAAAGGATTCAGGGGAATCACTTCTGGAACAATGTACTTTAATTCTAGCTTGTAAGCTGTATGCTATGATGATAGAAAATTATAAAATGAAATAGAATACAATAGAAAATATCACAAAGCATCATACACAATGTACCATACAGTACTATTTATAATATTTTCATTGTAGGTATTTTCCATCCCTGTATATTTGTGTATGTAAACCACCTTGCAATATAAATGCAAGGCTTTCTATGATCTACAGTGTATGGGTTTTGAAAATCACAATTCTCTGGTAACTTTCAGAAAAGGTGAGCAGTCACCTAGGTAATATAGCTAGATTCTTAATCCACAGGAAAACAAAATTGTTTAGTAGCTGAATGCAAAGAAAACAGGCTACCATATTTAAAAAAAAAAAAAAAAAGTAAAGAAAGACAGACAGCTATATGTAGAAAGAATTACTTCCATTTATCTGTTTAGCAAATTCTGAACCCACTAGTTGCTCTGCTGGAGGAAGATGCAGCAGTTTGCTTACATAAAAGATGCTTCAGGGAGCAGTTCTACCTTGTCCTACAAGGTCAATAATGAGTTGCAAACACACCTTAATGGTAACATCATTGTTGTTATTGTTGCTGAATACAACGAGTGGTAGGGTTAAAAGGGAAGATTAGAACACTGGGGGCCAGCAGTATTTAAGTAAGAGGAAAAGAAGTTTTGAATGACAAAGACAAAGCAGGAATAGTATGGAGAAAAGAGTATGAGGTTACAGAAGAAAAAATAATAGAAAACAAGAACTTTCAAACATGTCTGTACTGGAAAAAATTGAGGAACTTTAAAACTTCATGCATAAAGGCTGAGCAAAGAGAAAGTAACACCAACGATTCAGATACATGTTTCAAACACACCAAAGTTTTAGTAAAGGTAAAATTGGCCAGTATTAATAGTTGCCATATTCTAAAAAGATAATGATACAAAGATACTCTTTGGATATGTCAATTAAGAAGTCACATTTCAGGCAGATGGTAGAGGAAGAATGCATCTCAGGGTAGAGAAAAACATGTATTATAACAAATTTAAAAAGGAAAGAAAATACTGACCAAACCGAAGAATCTTAATTTGATTTCTATATTCTGAGCTACCTCTGAAGAGAACCTGTGCTATAAGATTACTGTTGTTGTGTGTATCATCGAGTCGGAACCGACCCATAGCTGACCTTCCCATGGGTTTTCAGCGACAGTGAGAGGACACTGCCCATCCTTCTCCCACAGAGCAGCTGGTGGCCTCCAATCAGGGTGCCTTCCGGATTGCAGCACAGTTTCTTGCCACTAGGCCATATAGTAGTGGTAACATATTATTTCAAGTTTTGCCTGACTGAAAATACTTTTTTCATTATTACTGAAGACACTTTTCCTCCCTGTTTTTGTTGATTGCCTTCCAGTCGAGTACGACTCATAGTGACCCTATGAACAAGAGGCCCGAAACCTTTCTATAACTATCAACATATATTAAAATTCGTATAATTTCCAGAGGCATGTTGTTTAGGAAGTGGATGCCACTCCTGCTTCCAATTCTCCTCCCTAGATAAGGAAATCTAAAGGAACAGTCACTTTGGCTCAGTATTTTAAAGATCTTTTTGTCAAGAAGTAAGTAGTCAGCCTTATTTAATCTCCTTTATTAAGGTAGTCGGTTTTTATTTCTGTCTTTACGTATTTTTTTTCTTTAACTATAGCTTTTCGCTGTTTTAATTGGTTATTGCAGCTTTAGGGAAGCTTCACAGAGCAAACTTTTTCTATTCAATCATTCACACACATTTTTGTTTTAGGACATTGATTATGAGCAGTAAGTACTCTTCCTATTTCCTCCTTCTGATTCTTTCTTTAATTCATCTTTCTATCAACACTTTTTGTATCTTCTACTCTTTATACTACATAAATGTTATCCTTTTAATGATTCTTATGGTTGATTATTTTAATGATTGAGTCCTTCCTTTGTGGTACTTTTCAATTTCCGAGCTTGTCTATTACTCACTGAAAGCTGAGCCATAAGGGTGAATTAGCTCCAGTCTAAAAGAGAGATTAAGATCCCAAATAAACTAGTAAATATGGCCATTTTTATAATCTTCAGTTTTGTTCCACATTTTTCTCCAAGTCTATCTATGACCTTCTACTGTGATTTCTTTCAGAGCAACTAGGAGCCATGTATTATGTAGTTCTTCCTCTGTCAGGATTATGAAGGAAGAGGTTCATGAAGTCCATTAGTACTACGGAATAATTGTTTTAATGCATCTTTGATTTTGTTCTCTTCTTTGCTCTGGACAGGAAGAGACCAACAATTCCAACTTAAATTGTCATTAAAACACTTTTAAGGCCCTCACTATTACTCACCAAAGTAGGATTTCTGGTGGCTGAATGGTAAAGAGTTGTGTTGCAAACACAAAGTCACACAGTTCAAATCCACCAGCTGTTGGAAAGTTGGACACTCTCCTCCCATACAATTTACAGCCTCTGAAAATTCGCTGGAGGGTCAGCTACAAATCAGTTCTAACTCAACAGCACATAATAACAGCAAAGTAGGATGAAAAACATTATCTTTAGGGGCTTTGTTATGCCAAGTGACTGTGATGTCTCCCCAAGATGAAGGAATATTTCCAGTGTTTTATTATGGTGTGCCTTGGTTTAGTAGTAGCTCTGGATTGTAGTTAAGGAGTTGTACTGCCAAATCAAATGCTGTCCCTCTCTGGAGAATCAAATGTATCAGCCACTCCGCAGGACTAAGATAGGTAATCTCCTCCTATGTATGATTTAAAATGTCAGAAATCCACAGGAAGGTCAGCTCTGAGTTTGACTGTGCCAAACAAATCAGGGAATATGACCACCTCACTTTTGAGCATTTCACTGTAAAGTCCTGACTTACAGCCAATTCTGACTTTATATCTTGTTTCCTGTGCTTTATTAAATGTGCAGGAAACAATAATTTCTAATGGCAGGGAGAAGGAACAGAAATCAAAGGTAGTTCTCTCCTGTTAAAACTCCATATTGTGAAGTGAGGGCTGAGGGAATCTGAGGGTTGCAATTTCCAGCCTAATTCATAAGACATTAGACCTGTGAGCTTATTAAAATCTTGTCTACACTTTTAAAGTAAATGACCCAATCCCTCTTCCCACTGCTATTATTTCTACCAACTAAAGAAACTTACCTGAATAACAGCACTAAACCAGCAAGTATTGCCAACATTCTTTAGCCCAACAGGAGCTCTGTCCTGCCTTTTTCTATCATAAGGGTTTCGAGAATCCCTCCAAATTTCTGTAGGAGTCCTCTTCAAACATGCTTTATTTTCTGCTATGCTGGCTTCAAGAACTCTTAAACAATAGAGAGAAAATAATGAAAAAGTGATTATTAATTTAAGGCTATCCTATATGCTATATTATATCATAAATTTTAATTTTGATCGCTTATGCTCTGGAGAATCTAGTTGGGAAAGCAACAGTTAATGCTAATTTATTCAGGCAGACATTAGTTTGCTGTAAGAAAACAACTGAAATGCCAATAGTTCAGGGAGTTCAATTAAAAAAGAAACCATTTAAAAACTGCCATGTAATTTAAAGTTGACTAAATTATATCTCAGCAAATATAAAATGGTTATTTTCCTTGGAAACTGATGCAAAGATCCAAACCAAAGCAAAAGTCCGAACACTTCTGAGACAATCCTGACTCATAGCAACTTTACGTGACAGCTGAACTGCCTCCTACAGTTTGTACCGTTGTATGTTTACAGAACCTAATTGCCACATCTTTCTCTTCTGAAGCAGGGCCTGGCAGTGTTTGAATTACTGACTTTCAATTACCAGCCAAGAACTTTAACAGGTGTGCTGCCGGGGCAGTAAAGCATATATTCCACCATTTATTACAATAAACTGTTTTCATTTTATGTAACAAATATTTTGAACTATATGGGAAGAACCAATAATTGAAGAAAAGATACTTTTGTGTCTACATATCATTTTCTTCTATAAAAACAAAAAAGCACACAAACTCGCCAATACTGACTCAATACCAACCCACAGAGACTCTATATGACAGAATAGTCTTATAGGCTTTCCATGATTGCAAAGTGATAGAGACTACTACATCTTTCTCCCATAAAGATGGTGATGTGTTCAAACTGCTAATCCTTCAGTTGGTAGCTAAGAATGTCAAACACTGTGCCACCAGGGTTCCTTCCTCTTCCATAAAATAAAGAAATATAGGAAATTCTAGAGGTCCTTTCAGTTCCAAATATTCATGACTCAATGATAGCTACAGATAATACTTCTGGGTTCACTACTTCACTACAAGTTATGCTTAATATTGTTGAAATAAATAGCTACATATTGGAAGATGTACAGATTATTACCTTTTCAAAAATAAACTAGTTTACAGAATCCTTAAATATACCTGCACATGCCTATTACTGTTACTGTTTAACAATGAAAGTTTTCTTGCTCCTAATAATAAAACAATATATGATGATCAATAATTTCACATATTACTTTGTCTAATTTAACCTCTTTTGTTAAACTACGCAGTTTGTTTTCTGAGGACTATTTCTGAGGGCTATTTATTATTCTAAAACAAAAAAACAAACAAAAAACCACTATGCAGATTATTTTAACCCACTTTGGTTAATTACAAAATGCTCAAAGGTAGGATAGAACATTAGTGCTATTATCAGCAAGTATATCTTTTTCTGCAGAGTCTCCTCACCAGGAAGAAAAAAGCAGAGAATGCAGTACATGTACTTTGAGGCCTATGATTCCTATGTCACTCATCCAGGAGCTTACAGAAGCAGCAGCAGCAGTCACAGCAGAGAACCAGAGACCTAACGTGAGACAGGCTGATCTGGGACAGTCACCCATGGAACCAAAAACAGAAGTCTCTGCCCAAGCTCACTGGAAGACTGAGAGGGAGATGCCTTAATTGGCAGTTTTAAGAGAGATTTGCAATACTGGATGAAAGCTAAAAATCTGACAACGGAAGGCTAAAGGGCCTTGAAGCAAAAGGGCGTTGGAGAAAATTTCAGAAGTTGTTCTGTAAGAAGTTGTATCCTGTTGCCAACCTAAGTTATAACCTGTTAACTTCCCTAATAAACTCCATAATCGTATGATTCTATGTAGTCTGTGCAGCCACAGAAAGCAATTTCTAACCAAGTGGATTGTTACTGAAATTAGTACAAACTGGTGCAGAAGCATAACAGGCATGCTTAACCTTATGGGAATTAGTTTTATGCTACAGATACTATGGATGCTGTTGATAGGGGTAGTCTGCTGTTCTGGAATTAGTAAAGGTCACACTTATACATCCCCACGCTGCCCTGGTACTTTTTACATTTAATGTCAAAAGTAGGATTCAATGCAATGGTTCCAGACTCACAGAAGTGTAGAATGGTGTAAAAGTAAGCAATAAGGGGTTTAAAAGTATAGCTAACATGTTGTTGTTGTTGTTGTTATGTGCCTTCGAGTCGCTTGTGACTCATAGCGACCCTATGTACAACAGCCCTAAACTCTGCTCTATCCTGTGCCAATTGCACTGTCTCTGACACTCCCATGCCAATTACCCCAGTCTTCGAATCAATCCACCTAATAGAGGGCCTTCCTCTCCTGCGCTGTCCCTCCACCCTCCCAAGCATGATGTCCCTCTCTAAGGACAAGTCTCTCCTCACAACATGTCCAAAGTATGTCAGACGGAGCCTCAGAATCCTTGCCTCCAAGGAGCCACCCGGTTTAACCCTTTCCAGAACAAATCTGTTTGTTTTCCTAGCAGTCCATGGTATTCTCAATACTCTTCCCCAGCACCACAGCTCAAAG